TGGTGCAGAGTAACGCTGACTGGTAGCCCCATACAATGAATAAATATCATGACAGCTCTTCTGAGAAGGCACATGAGGGACACGGCGGAGATGGGCACTGTGGAAGCTAGGTGGTAAGGGTGGGGTTGAGAGGGGATGGCGTGTCGGAGAGGCCGGATTTCCGTGAGATTCAGGGAGATCCTGCAGCCCAGCACACTGGGCTCTAGATTAGTCAGGGACTTGGACCAGCCACTCCCTCCTCCTCACACAGTGAAGGGGATAAAGGGCTCCTCTTCTTCCTCCTCTGTCTCTGCCACCGTTGCCCTTGTTGGACGGTAAATGACGCAGCTCATATCTTAATGGGAGAGGGGCAAAGGTCTTACTACTGACAAAGGAAAAATATATATAATCTTTGCCTTTCCTTTGTTAACACTCAGAACAAGTATGTCCCAAGGATCACTTCCTCTTATTCTGTGCCTGATTGTTCAAAAAAAGAAATAATAACAGAACAGAGAGTTCTATGGCAGCTAGCCAGGAATGCACAATATTCCTGTGGACATGCCATTTTCTTCTTTCAGTCAAAGGTAATGTTAGGCAGAGAAACCATATAGAAACATTTGGAGTTACATTAAGTACAAGCTTTTAAGTTTCTCATCAGGCTCCTAAAATTCTGCACTAGTTAAGTCAAATAGAATTATAAAGTTACAAAATCCATAAAGACTTTTTTAGGTGTATTATTTTTTTAACATATTTATATTGATTTCAGAGAGGAAGAGAGAGGGAAAGGGAGAGGAAGAGAGAAACATCAATGATGAGAGAGAAAGAAACATCAGTGATGAGAAAGAATCATTGACCAGCTGCCTCCTGCATGCCCCCTCCTGGGGATCAAGCTAGCAAACCCAGGCATGTGCCCTGACTGAGAATTGAACCATGACCTGCCAGTGCATAGGTCATCGCAGGCAGGACCATGGCACGCGGGAGCAAAGAATTTTTAGTAACTACCAGAGGCTGGGCCCATGACAGCAACCAGCATCCCGCCTTGGTCTGGTGCCTCCACTCACCTGCTGGCCAACACCCACCATGTTCCACACACGCCCCCTGGTGGTCAGCGCAGCTCATAGTGACCAGTTGTTCAGTTGTTCCTGTTGTTGAGCTGTTCGGTCTATTTGCATATTAGCCTTTTATTATATAGGATATTTTATAGAAAATATTTACAGAACCTAAAAACTTATGGCAATATTTTAGGGAGGCAAGATTATAGCAAGGATGGTTAACATTGAAAAAGTCTTAATTTACCCTTCTGCTCATGAAGTCTATGAATCTCACCAACATTCCTCACAGGGGGTATCCAGTCTCTACTTGAACATTATTCTTCTCAAAGTAAAACTGCATCACTTGAGCAATGCGTAAAGCTTGTTCCTGGGCAGACACTCTGATCTGGGGCATGGCAAGAAGGGTACTGTGCTGAATCAGCTAGATGGAGTTTCTGCTAATGCTGAAATGAGCCTATGGAGAAGGCAACTGAGAGGTTTGAGGAAGTGAATCAACAATTTTTACATTTTCCTGCCTATAGTTTTCTCTCTCTCCCTCTCCCTCTCTCTCTCTCTCTCTCTCTCTCTCTCTCTCTCTCTCTCTCTCTCTCTCTCTCTCTTTGGCCTTAACATGTTTTGCTTATTTAATTGTTCAACAATGTTCTTTGATTTGCTGTGATTACCATTATCATCATCACATTCACTCCCATCTCAAAGCAAATCTTTGCTGTTCCCTCTCTCTGACCTAAATATTCGCATGGCTTTTTCCTTCAGCTCATTCAGATCACTTTTTATAGGTGATTCTTATAATAAGACCTTTCTACGATTGCAACCCAAACCCCTACCCTACACTAAGGTACTTGCTTCTCTGTTTTCACTTTTCTTCTTAGTGCTTATCTGTGGCTGCTAGCCTCCAAGCTGGCTCAAGTGACTCTCACCTCCTGGTATTCATACTCTGCATAGCTCACCCCCACACCAATTAGGGCCGACCTGTATAGCCAACAGGATATTGTGGATATAACCGAGTGTGAGTCCCAGAGCTGGGCTATAAAGGACATTGCACTTTTACCTTGACTCTTGAGCAACCCAGTGGAGAAGTCATGTGGTGAGGAATTGAGGCTTCCTACCCACAGCCAACACCAACTCGCCATCTGCATGAGTGAGCTTTCTGGGAGGCTGTGGCCCTGGCCAACATCTTGACCACAACTTCATGAGACACCCCAGGCCAGAATCACCCAGCTAAGCAGCTGCTTCTGAATTCCTGACCCAGAGAAACTGTGTGAAATAATAAAGCTTTTTAGTTGATTTTAGCTGCTAATTTGCTACTTAGTAATAGATTGGCTAATATCCCATCTAAATAGAAAACACCTTCTCCTGGCCGGATAACTCAGTTAATTAGAGATACACCAAGGTTGCAGGTTCAATCCCTGGTCAGGGCACATATAGACAGTTTGCAATCAGAGGGAGCTGCTACAATAATGTTAAAACTAATACTATCAGGGCAGAGTAAATCTTTCTCCAAGAAAGGAAAAATCAAAAATTTTAGAAGCAGGATGAGTCTTATGGTACAATTGGTCCTTTATAAGGAAAAATGTAACACAGTAGCCCAATATCCAACATTTCAGAAAGCATGTGAAGTTTCCTTTATCCCCAGAATTAGTTTTGAATGTATTTCTTCTTAAAAGTACAAAAAAATTATCTAAAATGATAGTAAAAGCTATGTTCCTCCCAAATTACATGAACATTTAGGCCTTTATGAACAAAACTCTGTAACCTTAGCTTTACATAGTCTTTTCTTTCTATACATATATTTTATATATACTACCCTAACCCATTTCATCATTAAAATTACTTTACTAGCCGAAACCGGTTTGGCTCAGTGGTAGAGCGTCGGTCTGCGGACTGAAAGGTCTCAGGTTCGATTCCGGTCAAGGGCATGTACATTGTTGGCGGGCACATCCCCGGTAGGGGGTGTGCAAGAGGCAGCTGGTCAGTATTTCTCTCTCATCGATGTTTCTAACTCTCTATCCCTCTCTCTTCCTCTCTGTGAAAAATCAATAAAATAAATTAACAAAATAGGAATTAACAGATATTTTCTTAATATATTGGGAAAATGTTTCTAGTTCTCTATCCCTCTCTCTTCCTCTCTGTAAAAAATCAATAAAATATATTATTAAAAAAAGAAAACTAATGAATGCATACAATGGAACAACAAATCTCTCTCTCTCTCTCTCTCTCTCTCTCTCTCTCTCTCTCTCTCTCTCTCTCTCTCTCTTGTTTGCAATTCATAATATCTGCCCTGTGATTTTTCTATTTGAGTTTCATCTGGGAAATTACTGTTTTCTTTTTTTGTTCTAATATAGAAACTATTATCTGGTGGGAAAAGGGGGAGGAGGGAGAGACCTGCCTAGTTTACTCAGTCAAAGAATATTTGACCCCTTACTAGTTACTAGGTGCCTGTCATTGTGCTGGAATGTGTGTTTTTTCTTTCACTTTTTCCTTTCTTGCACAGCAAACTCATTTATCCTGTGAGTCATAGCTCCAATATTGCCTCCTTTCTAAAATATCCCTTATTCCGTACATGATTTATTCATTCTTTAATAGTTTTATGCATTTTGCCTACCATACACTTGTAATATATGTCATATTTATATGTCTGACTCATTCCTCTCTATAGCCCTTTCTCCTTACCCCTGAGCACTGCCCATTCTGGCTGACACACAGGAGTTACTCTTGTGTCTGGCTTCTTTGATAAACATTACTTTAATGAGATTCATTAAATACTGCATGATTTCATTACTACAATGTTCAAAAACAGCAAAACTAATCTATGGTGTTAGAAGTTAGGATAGTGATTACCTTTGGAGGAAAGCAATGACCAAAAGGGGTTAATTATCTGTTTCTTTATCTCACTGATGATTATATGGATATGTCCATTCTATGAAAAGTCAAGCTGTATAATTATGACTTACACATTGTATGATGTATTTCAATAAAAAGTTTACTTTTTTAAAAAAGTATGCTAGTAAAAGTAGTAGAATTGGCAGCACATTCAATCCAGTTATATTACAGGGTATCAGAAACTTATCATACTTCTGGAAGAAAAAGATGAATACACTAGAGAGTGTGTGACGCTGCTGAAGAGATGATAAAGTAAGCTATTTAAGGATGAAGAAGAGAGGGATTCATTCATTCATCAAAGTATTTTAAATTCTTATAGCCCAAGAGCTTTTTGAGGCATGGGAGATCCAAAGATTAAGAATAAGTCCCTATTGTCAGAAAGGTCACTGTTTAGTGGGTAAGGATACTCATCATGGACATATTAATGGAAACTATGTTTTGAGCACCTTCCTTAAATTAGGCCCTATGCTGTATAGTTTTGTGGATGCCTACCTAAACTGACAACAATCCAAGGAGGTTGTTTTTTCTTGAGGAAACACAGGAAATAAGCTGTCCAAGGTATCACCATGGAGATAAAAACCTTTGTCAGTCTGACTTCAAAGACAAGTTTCTCTTGGTACCTTACCCAGCCTTGGATGGTGTTTTAGAAGAGAAAGCAACATCAATTCCAGTGGCGATGTCTTGGCAATGGTGGTATACATGGATGGCCTGGACCTTCAAGGATGAGCAGACAAAAATAATGTTTGATGATCTGGAAGTGGTTTTGGAGAAATAAAAGTTTTTCATTCTAAGGACCAGTCTTTTGAAGAAGGCAGCAGAGGTGTGTAGTGAAAGGGAGATCATTGAGCACTGTTTCTCAGGAAGGGGATCTAGCTGCTCTTTTACAGACTTTCAACCAAGCATATTGTTGTTGTTTTGTTTTTAATATATTTTATTGATTTTTTACAGAGAGGAAGAGAGAGGGATAGAGAGTTAGAAACATCAATGAGAGAGAATCATCAAGCAGCTGCCTCTTGTATACCCCCCACTGGGGATATGCCCGCAACCAAGGTACATGCCCTTGACCGGAATCGAACCTGGGACCTTTCGGTCCGCAGGCTGACGCTCTATCCACTGAGCCAAACTGGTTTCGGCCAAGCACGTTGTTTTTAAGGCATCCCTGAACCCTCCTCCTGTAAAGGTGTCTGGTCTGTCCAGTTCCTGAACCCTTCTGGAATTCCTTGCTTCTTAAATGTTGCACATACAATTTTATAGCCAGAGATTTGTTTTACTTAATATTTTAGTAAGGGCATTGTCCTAAAGAAAAGTGTTTGATACTAAAACACCCCTATTCAACTACCTTTAAGCTACCTTTATAGGAAAGTACTAGATTTCCAGGAGTTCAAGCCAAGGTTGTCAGTCACAAGTGTAATGCAAGTATCTCTAAAACAGCAGGAAAGAAAAAAACCGTACATAAATAAATTGTACCTTAGAACTACCCTCATGCTCATGCATCTTGCATGGCTTAACTACTACTAAAAGAAGCCAGCAGTTGCCAAAACCGGTTTGGCTCAGTGGATAGAGCGTTGCAGGGTTCGATTCCGGTCAAGGGCATTACATTGGTTGTGAGCACATCCCCAGTAGGGGGTATGCAAGAGGCAGCTGGTCAATGTTTCTCTCTCATTGATGTTTCTAGCTCTCTATCCCTCTCCCATCCTCTCTGTAAAAAAAATCAATAAAATATATTAAAAGAAGGAGGAGGAGGAGGAGGAGGAGGAGGAGGAGGAGGAGGAGGAGGAGGAGGAGGAGAAGTAGCAGCCAGCAGTACGAAGCCAGGGAAAAACTCGGGTCTCATACATCAGGATGATTTTAAGTATCCCATTGTACTAAGGTTATTGATCCAGCTGCTATGACAGTGACCTGAATTAACAGTGGATTTAACCACACAGGAGATCCTTTTCTTTCTTGTCACAATTTGAGTGTGATATGATGGCTCCACCTAGGATCCTTCGTCTTCTGTCTTGTCCTGTTATTCCTAGGCTGCTTCCATTGTTTATAGAATGAGATGGCTTACTATATGCTAGCCAGTGGGAAAGAGCACATATGGCCCAAGGAGCACACTTCTTCCTTAAAAAAAATTTTTTTTTTAATTTATTTCAGAGAGGAAAAGAGAGGCAAAGAGAGAGAGAAACACCAATAATGAAAGAGAATCATTGATCCACTGCTTCCTTCATGGCTCCTACTGGGGGATTGAGTGGGCATGTGACCTGACTGAGAATCGAACCATGACCTTCTGGTTCATAGGTTGTTGCTCAACCACTGAGCCACACTGGTTGGGCACATTTTACATGTTTCATTCTACTCAGACCTTATTATCCAGAAGTTTTCGGAAGACTGAAAAATAACCTATCTTGGTGGTCATGTACTCTGTGCTGAGATCTAGTACCAGAGACAACTCCTGGTCTCTGCCATATTCTGAGCTTAGTAAAATTGAAGTTGCTGAGTTTAGACTAACATAGCTGATTGTTAAATTCTGATCTTTGTAGCAGGGCATCCTGTTTGTGTTAATATTATAAAATATACAGAACTTAAAAATATGTAAAATCTTAGTGCTTTTCCCTATATAGAGCTAAGAGAATATGGAAGATTCATGCTTTATGCTCCTTTATTCACTGAAATTCAGTAAATACCTTGAATCCTTTATTCATTCTGGCCATTGAAACCAAGCTCTTACAGGCAGGCATATTTTGCTTATAATGCTAATAATGAAGAGTTCTAGAACCAAGGCTTTAAAATGTACACCTTTATAATAAACAACAAGAGAGTCCAAGATAGAAACAAAGGAGATGTGCCTCTACCTCACAGCTGTAGAGGGAGAGAAATATTATGTTTCCTAAAAATAGTTCTAAGAATCTGCTTTGCTGAGGTGATAAATTAAGAACATTCAGAAGAACATCAATCTTGTTTTCCAGTGCAATATGAAAACTTGTCTGAATATTCATAATCCAGCAACTTGTTTTCTTTTCTGTTCTTGGAAGTATAATTTTAACAAAAAGATCTTGTAAAACTAAGACTTTTGGAATTGTTACTGCATGCTACAAAGGTAACCTTAAAAAGAGCTTGTAATTCTGATTGTCTTCCTTGATAGTTTGTTGCCTTGGCAATAATGCTATAATTTATGTCTGAATTCCTAAGCAACTCAGAGACTTAGAACTTAGCTCTGTAAAACCAGAAGAGATTCATTTGCTCAGTTCTCTTTTCCATCATATATTAGTATAATGGAGAAAAATAAATTACTGTCACACTCATCAATTTCTTTTTTTAACAAAAACTGAAAGCCTTGTTGCTGAATTAACAAGGGTAATTGCCTTTCCTTTTTTTTTTTTCTGTGAAAATATAATATTTTTATCTGTAGGAATTCATGAATTTCTTATTTTCAAGTTACTGAACAGTGTTTCTCTTTTTCCTCATAGACTGTCCTTCATCCACCTGGGTTCAGTTCCAAGACAGCTGTTACATTTTTCTTCAAGAAAACATCAAAGTAGAAAGCATAGAGGATGTCAGAAATCAATGCACTGACCATGGTAAGGAGTTTATTCTTTTTATTTTGCCTTTCAGAAATCAGTAAATAGTGTTTACTAATTTCTTTTAAAAACAATCGTTTATAGTTGTATCTCCCTGGGTCCTTATCATAACCATATTCTGCACTGTACAAGCCACAGGCAGTGGAACTGGGTGGAAGACAGTTGTTGGTCATGGACTCTGTGCTATACCGCACATTGCTGTCCTAGCAGAGTGGCAGAACAGTAGCAACAGCAGTGTCTAAATAAAGTGCCTGCTCTGTGCCAGGCACTATGCTTAAACACACTATATATTATAATTGGCTTAAATTATTATAACAAACCTTCTTTTACCAAGAAGAAATTTAGGCCCTAGCCGGTTTGGCTCAGTGGGTAGAGCATCAGCCTGCGGACTGAAGGGTCCCAGGCTCAGTTCTGGCCAGGGGCACATGCCTAGGTTGTGGGCTCAGTCCCCAGAGGGGGGCATGCAGGAGGCAGCTGATCAATGATTCTCACTCACCATTGATGTTTCTATCTCTCCTTCTTCCTTCCTCTCTGAAAGCAATAAAGAAATATATATATATATATATATATATATATATATATATATATATATTTTTTTTTTTTTTTTAAAGAAGAAATTCAGTTCAGTTATTTGTTCAAGGTCACACAGGTCATAATCAGTAGAGCCATGATTCAAACCAGGGTGTGTCTGACTTTAGCACCAGAGTTCTGGGTCACTCTGTTGTTCTGCCTGAAAGTGCTATTACAGGCATGTGTGTGAGCAGACATCAGGTGACAAGGGACCATGAAGTAAGACTGTGGTAAAGAAGTGTGCATTAAAGAAAAATAAGAGAAAGGATATTTGCTAGAAGGTATGTTCAAAATTCTCTGGGGAAAACATTTGTAACTTCATGTCATGAAATATTTTATTATTTTTTAAAAATACATTTTTATTGATTTCAGAGAGGAAGGAAGAGGGAGAGAGAGGTAGAAACATCAATGATGAGAGAGAATTATTGATTGGCTTCCTTCTGCACACTCCCTACTGGGGATCAGCCTGCAACTCAGGCATGTGCCCTTGACTAGAGTCAATGCTCTATCCACTGAGCCAAACCAGCGAGGACAGTGAAATATTTCAAATAAAAGTTATTTTTTAAAAGGTCTGAAATAAATAAATAAAAATAAAAAGGTCTACTTGGGTGCTCTTTATATATTTGACTTTTTAGCTCATAGTGCATCCTGTTGTTAAGCCTCTAATTTTTGTGATCATCATTGGCTCAAAGTTAAACTATGATATAAACTTCTAGTCAAGATGGGGGCATAGGAAAATGCGGTACTAGAATCTCCCACAACCATATCAAAATTACAACTAAACCACAGGACAACCATCATTCAAAACTGCCTGAAATATAGCTGAACAGAAGCCCTACAATGAGGGGATTAACAAAGAAGCCACATCCAGACGGGTAGGAGGGGTGGACATGCAGAACAGGCCTGGTCACACACCCACATGTGGTAGATAAAAATCAGGAGGGATATCTCAACTGTAGAAGTCACCACTGAGAACTAAGGGAGAACTTCAGCAGCACTAAAAAACACACGGAAACCATAAAAAAAAGAACCAGTCAGAAATGAAGGTTACACTAACTAATGTAAAGAATAATTTATAGGGAATCAACAATAGAGTAGATGAAGCTGAAAATCAAATCAGCGATTTGGAATATAAGGGAGCAAAACCACCCAATCACAAAAGCAAAGAGAAAAAAATCTTTGAAATGAAGATAACGTAAGGAGCCTCTGGGACAACTTCAAGTGTACCAAATTTGCATCATAGGGGACAGGAGGGGGGAGTGCCAGAAGGAGAGGAGAGCAAGAAATTGAAAACCTATTTGAAAAAAATAATGACAGAAAAACTTCCCTAACCTAGTGAAAGAAATAGACATACAAGTCTAGGAAACACAAAGCATCCCTAACAAGATGAGCCCAAAGAGGCCCCCACACCAACATACATTGTAATTAAAATGCAAAAGGTTAAAGACAAAGAGAAAATCTTAAAAGCAACAAGAGAAAAACAGTTAGTTACCTACAAGGAAGCGCCCATAAGACTTCCAGCTGATTTCCCAACAGAAACTTGGCACTCCAGAAGGGATTGGCAAGAATGTTCAAAGTGATTAAAAGCAAGAACCTGCAACCTAGATTACCCATCAAAGCTTATCACTGAGAATCAAAAGACTTATACTGAGCTTCTGAGATGAGAAAAAACTAAAGGAGTTCATCACCACCAAAGCAGCATTACATGAAATGTTAAAGAGCCTTCTTTAAGAAGAAAAAGGGGATAAAAAGACCAAAATGGCAATAAATACATACCTATCAGCAATTAAATCTAAAAAACAAAATAAATAAGCAGAATAGAAACAGACTCATAGATACAGAGAACATTTTGATGGTTACCAGATAGGAGGTAGGGGCACTGGTGGAAAAGTAGAAGGGATTAAGAAGTACAAATTGGTAGTGGCAGAACAATCTTGAGGATGTAAAGTACAACATAGGGAATATAGTCAATACTATTCTATTAACTATGTATAATGTCAGATGGTTATGAGATTTATTGGGATTTTCACTTAGTAAGTTAAATAATGTGTAATCACTGGGGTGTACACCTGAAACTAATATTGTATGTTCAACTGTAATTGAAAAATAAAAAGTGACTTAAAAACCTATGATGCTGTAAACTAGCATCTTTTTCAACTGATATATCTATGATGGTGAGATGAGAGTCCTTGATTCTTTAAACATGCTTTTTATTGTTCTTTAAGATCTAGAGATCTATAGATCATTTCATTAAATTTTCACTTAGGCATATTAATCACTCTAGCATTAAGAAATGCCCTTTACCTAAAAGACACAATTTCTGACAGCCCACCAGTATAACATTTAGAATGCTATCAAATTGCATTAGGAATATTTTAGTTAAAATAAAAGTTATTTATCATAGAAGGAATATGTGTAAGCATAGAAGTTTTTAGTTCTAGTAAGTATCACATAGTACTTAATACATAGTTATTGTTTCCTTTGGAAAAACTCTTGCCTGCTAAATGATATTGAACACTGGCTCTTTGAAAAAAAAATAAAAAATAAAAAATAAAAATAAAACAAAATTTGGTTTCATTTCAAGGAAACTGAATAATAGGAATTTTTCTTGTCTTATAAGATTTTAAAATGGAATTTCCTTTACAACTATTTTTTTTTTTTTTTAAGAAAATCATTTATGCCCTGGCTGGTGTGCTCAGTACCTAGAGCATCAGCTTGCACACCAAAGGGTCTCCCCTCACCAAAGGATTTTGATTTCCAGTGAAGGCTACGTACCTTGGTTGTGGGTTTGCATCCTACCCTGATTGGGGTAGTACAGATGGCAAACATCTCTCTCATATTAATGTTTCTCTTCCTCTCTCCCTCTCTCTCCCTCTCTCTCTCTCTCTCTCTCTCTCTCTCTCTCTCTCTCTCTCTCTCTCTCTCTTTCTCTCTCTCTCTCTCTCTTCCTTTTCCTGCCTCCTACTCTCTCTGAGAAACAATGGAAAAAAATATCCTCATGTGAGGATTAACAAAATAAAAAGAAAGAAAACCATTTTTTATTAGGTATTAGAGGCTCAGTGCATGAAATTTGTGCATGTACCCAGTCCCTAGCGGCTGCCAGCTGCCAGCCAGGGCCACCCTTCCCCTGCTGCTGGCTGCCAGCAGGGGCCTTCCTTTCTTCTACACTGCCCCTTGGTGGTCAGCCCACGTCATAGCGAGTAATTGAACTCCCAGTTGGTCAAACTCCTGAGGGGACACTTTGCATGATAGGCCTTTATATATAGAGATACTTAGACATAAACCAGATTTCAGTTGCAGAAATTAATGATATTGGAGGCCGAGAGCCAAGAAAGGACAGGTTCCTATACTCTTATTAGTTTGTATGAACAAGGTGGAAGTTCATTGTCCAGCTTTAATACTTATGCAGTTAAGCAGCTGCTTACTACACAGAGGCATACTTAATACTTGTGACTGACTTCCTCTATGACTCAGCTGTGTTTAGCTCTATTTGCTATTTTTCTTTAGCAAAGCAAAACAGAATTGAAAACACCCAACAACTTTATGGCTTGTTTCAGAGTCCATTAACTCTACTTGCTCAAACTGGGAAACCATTTAGGAATTTTAAATTGTTGTATGTAAATTTGCTTATACAATTTGTCTGGTGTCAAAAGAAAAAATAAATTAAATTATTTTAAACCCAGTTAAAATGTATAAATTCAGCTTTTCTTACTAATTTAAAAAAAAATTCTTATACAATTCTCACCATTTATGTGATAATCTTTTTTATGTACTTCCACTATGGAAATAATCATTTCATTGGTGAGCCAGAAAATTAGCTAAAATGTGTTTATATTGCTGTTTCTTATTTTTGCATAGGATCGTGTTTTGGTTTAGAGCAGTAGTGGACATTAATTCAGTGTTTGCTATGTATGCAAAAGAAAAGCACAAGGACTATTAGAATATTTACATTTCGATTTATTAAATCTTCACAGCCTCACAAAATAATATCATAAACATATCATTAAGGATATGTACTAGAACTAAAATACACAATAAGTGATTTGTTACCTTTTAAGCTGCAAAGAGCTATATCTAGAAATATTCCCTGTGTTTTGTTATAATTTACTTGATGTTACCT